CAGGAACAAAGTCCACCTGGTCATTCTAGGTGATAGTACCTGTGGGGTTTGCTTATCCCCTGATAACAGCCCCAGGAGTGGTTTGTGGTCAGTTATAAGTTCAAAATGGTGTCCAAACAAAAATTCATGAAACTTTTTTACGGCAGCTACTGCAGCCAAGGCCTCCTTATCAATTTGGCTGTAGTTCCTTTCTGCAGTGGAGAAGGTCCTAGAGAAGAAAGCGATTGGTGCCTCGGAACCGTTGGGAAGCCTGTGGCTCAGAACAGCCCCAATCCCAAAGGGGGATGCATCAGCAGCTAGGACCAGGGGAAGTCTTTGATCAAATTGGATTAAAACTGCATCAGATGTGAGTAAGGATTTGACTGACTTGAAGGCATGGGCTTCCTTGGGTCCCCAATGCCAGGGGGATTCTTTGTCTAACAGTCTGTGTAAGGGTTCAGCAATAGACACTTTGTGCGGGAGAAATGAGGCGTAAAAGTTTAGTAGCCCCAGAAAGGCTTGGAGCTCCGTCTTGTTAGTTGGTGTAGGCGCCTCATGGATGGCCTTTACTTTGGATTCGACTGGGTGAATGCCAGAGGCATCTATCCTATACCCCAGAAAGTCCACTTGTCTAGTGGCGATGGCGCACTTCTCCCTTTTAAGTTTGAGGCCATGCTGCCTAAACTTCTCTAGGACTGCTCTGACTCTCTGTATGAGCTGGGGTCTGTCAATTGCTGAGACTAAAATGTCATCGAAGTAAGGGACAACCCCTGGGAGACCTTGGAGGATCCTTTCCATGAGGGATTGGAATATACCCGGGGCTACACTTACGCCGAATTGGAGGCATTTGCACTTGAATGCCCCTCTATGTGTGACTATGGTTTGTAACTCAGCTGTCTGATCATCTACAGGGAACTGCTGGTATGCTTGGGACATATCTAATTTGGCAAAGATGGTGCCGGGTTCGAAGGTGTGTAACAGGTGTTGAATAACAGGGACAGGGTAGGCGCTGACCTGTAGATAACGATTGAGGGTGGTCTTATAGTCTGCGCAGATTCTTAAACTGCCATCCTTCTTGAGTGGGGTGACTATGGGGGTCTCCCACTTGGCAAAGTCAGTTGGTTCTAACACCCCTTGCTTAAGTAACTTATCTAATTCTAAATCCAACTTTGGATGGATGCCGAAAGGCACTCTGCGTGGCTTAAGGCGAAGAGGGATTGCCTGGGGGTCCACAGAGAAGGAGATGGGGGTGCCAGAATAACAACCCAGCTCGCTGCTAAAAACATCAGAGTAATCTGAGAATAGGGCGTCTACATCAGAAGTTGAGACAGCATGGATCCCAGTTACACTAAGGCCGAGGGAGGGGAACCAATCTAGCCCCAACAGACTGGGGAGGGCACCATTAACAACCACCAAAGGCAAATGGTCTTTAAAGGCTTGGAATTGAACTAAAAACTTGCCTTTCCCGAGGACAGGGATGTTCTTGCCCTGGTAGTCCCGCAGTGTCAGGTGGCATCTCTGCAGCTTCTTCTTCGCAAATCTGGGATGAATCTTCTTTAGGGTTTCCCAGGAGATGATTGAAAGTGCAGATCCCGTGTCTACTTCCATCCTGCAGGGCTTACCTTCTAAAGAAACAGAAATACTGATTTTATTAGGAGTCTGGGAAGTTTGGTTAGCGTGGTAGCAGGTATAGCAGTCCTCCACTTGCCTTTGGAAAGTAGTAGGTGGTGGAGGTCTTTGAGGAAAAGTTCGCCCTGCTTGGCAGATTCTAGCGAGGTGGCCTTTCTTTTGACAATTCAGGCAGATGGCGTTCTTAAACCTGCAGGATGCCCTAGAGTGGGAGCCCCCGCAAGCTAGGCAAATGGGAGGTTGCTTGGGGGCGAAGTTGTTTCTCTGCCCTGCTCCTACCTGTGAAGGCTTTTGTTGCTTAAGGCGGTTAATGTCTGTTGAGTCTATGGGGTCTTCTTCAATGAAAACTTCCTCTGAATGGATGGTGGAACTGCTGGGTTTTACAGGAGTTCCTTGAATTTCAGCTGCTGATTGGGCAGAGAGCTCAGCAGCTTGGACTTCCTCCATGGCTAAGGCTAGGTTTAAGTCCTTTTTTGCTAGCAAACGTCTTTGAAGCCTAAGGTCTCTAACCCCACAGACAATCTGGTCCAGTAACATGTCTTCTAGGTAGTCTCTGAAACCACACTGTAAGGCAGCTGTCCTCAGAGCTGCCACATACTCATTAATTGACTCTCCCTCAGCCTGTTTTCTGGTTCGGAAAGCATATCTCCTGGCTATCTGGGATGGCTTAGGTGAGTAGTGGTTGGAGAGGATCTCTTGGAGTTCATCCCACGGAATGCTCCTGATAGCGCGAGGGGCGACTAGTGCTGTAGCGGTGTCAAAAACCGCAGCCCCACAGTAGCTGAGGAAGTAGGATTTTTTCCTGTGCTCAGCAGCATCTGCTAAACCGATGGCATCGAGGAAGTAGCTGAAACGATTTTTGTATGAGTCCCACGTTTCCTCGGCTGGCTTGAATGGCAGGAATGTCGGATTGGCATTCATTTTGGAAAAGGCAGGGCTCGTCCCTTCAGTCTTGATTCAAAATTCGCGCTCTTAGAAGAGCGCTTGCGGCTGCGCTTATCCGGCGGTGTCTGTCTCTCCGGCTACGGAGGCTTTTTGAATTTCGCGCCCTTTGTGAGCGCCGGCGGCTGCGGCTTCAGCGCCCGTGACTTCGTTCTAGTGACTACAGCTCAAAACCCGGAGGCTTTTTGAATTTTGCGCTCTTTGTGAGCATCGGTGGCTTCAGCTCTTCGGAATAGCACTACTGGTAGCCTCTGATCCCACCTTCGTCGCCAGTGTTATAGAGTGGCGGAGGAACGAGGCTGAACCAGAGTGCAATGTAAAAGGCTTTATTACAATGAATAAAGGGTTGCCGCGTCTGCCTTCTCACTAGGCAGACTAGCTGGCGGTAACAGGGCTGGCACTGCTCGACAGCCGCTTTTTATAGCCGGCTGTCAAACGGTGCCAGCCAATGGGAGCGGCTGGTGCTCCCGCTCAAACAGCGGACCTGGTTGGGGACTCCAACCAGTTCCAAAGACATAACACTCCCTTTCCCTTTGGAAATGAGAGCTCCTGCTATTTCCTGGGGCCTGGAGTTCCCTTTATCATTGACAAAGCCTAGGGACATGAAGAACCTCTGCTCCAGCCACTAACTGGCATGTTTCTGGCAGGGAACTTGGGGGTCTGGAATGATGAATATGACCCCTTTCACACTTTCTCTACGAGCATGGCAGTTTGCTTGGAAGAAAACGGGGTCTTCTTCCTGTGTATGTGTATGTATGTCTGCCTTGCAACTGGACTGGGATGTGTACTTGGGTACACCTCTTCCCAAAGATGGGTGTTGTTGCTGGGGAACAGGCCCTCCCAGTCCCTCTCATAGGCCATGTGCAGAAAAGAGAGTGCATAGTGATCCCACTGCTAGCGATCCTGGGGATAGGTACAGCAGTTGGGACAGGGGTGGGTGGCCTAGCTCATTCTACAGTGCAGTTTAAGCAGCAGTCAGAGGAGCTCCAACATAGTCTAGATCAGATCACCCAGACTTTAGTCAAAGTGCAAGGCCTGATCGACTCCTTGGCATCAGTAGTCCTGCAAAATAGATGGGGCCTGGACCTCCTGACAGCTGAAAAAGGTGGTTTGTGTTTGTTTTTAGGAGAAGAGTGTTGTTTCTACATGAATACATCAGTAATGGTTGGAGAAGCTGCAAAGGACCTGCAAGACAGAGCATCCCAGTTGGGACAGAGATTACTGGGGACAGACCAATGGTTCTCATGGTTGCCAGGAACTGCCTGGGTCAAATGGTTCTTGTTCCTGTTGTTGTGTGTAGTAGCAGGACTACCCTTAACCCCTGTGTTACCTCTACTCAGACAACTGGTTATGAGATCAATAATGCAAATAAGGATTGAAAAAGAGTTGATTGTCTTAGGAGGACCTTGGGGAAGTAGGTCCTCGAAGGGGGAAATCAGATGTTGGAACGGATGTACAGAGGAGGCCCTGGGTGTCATATGTGGAGATAGGACCCAGAGGTGGATGGAATGGACATGAGAGTGAGGAATACGAATTTTGATAAAACATTTTCTCTTGTCGTTTCTCTGCCTTAAGCAGCCTTGCTCCTTCCTATCCCTCTCTACAAAAGGAGGGGGATCACTTGGGATGCTGCCTCAGACAAAGATTTGAAACTGCTTTTATTTTTCTCTGCGGAAGGAGGGGGTCACGGGGAGTGGGGGAGCTACCTTCAGCTGCTCTGCAATAGGAAAGGGGTTGGAACTGCACATCCATAGCGAGGCAGAAGTTAACACCTTAAACCACTAGCCAGGATATTAGGGACAAGAATAGCTTGCGTATATGAAAAAAACCTCAAACCACATAGCTGGCACGTGAAACTACGACACTTTGCACAATACCTGTGACCTGGGGTGAAAAACAGGTGACACAACATTCAGCTATGTAGGGAGCTGAGATCCAAATAACCAATCAATATTATCTCTTATGCATGTATTATTAGGGGAAAGACAAAAGGCTAAATGTGACCACCCTTTGAATATAAAAATTGCTGTAAGATTGTAATCGGGACCCTTGGATAGCTTTTGAGCCAAGGTCCTTATATCTTGGTACCAAAATAAAAGTATAATTTTGTACCATGCTTGTGTCTGGTGACTTATCGGCTTCGACACCAAGCAAGAGGCCAGTTTTGCGGACAACCCCAAGAGTCATTCTTGCTCTTTCTACCTTCAAATTGCCAAATTTAAAAAACACTGCTAAATGAATGACAAAACCAGTATGACTAGATAAGTAATTTCTTCTTGAAAGTATGAACCTACCTTACCTCAGCCACCTTCCACCAATCGGTTTGGCAAAATTCTGTATGATGTCAGAGCTTAAAGTTCTCATTAGCAGCGCGGGTAAGGCAAAAAAACTGAAAGAGCCCCGCCTTTGTCATCGCACAGGTTGATTGGTTGGCTTAGCTGTCTGTTTCCATACCAGCCGAGGGTGCTACGGGGTTTAAAGGGAGGATTTAGGAAACAGATGAGAAGCGTTTGGTGCAGACGTTTTGTGAGATACGTTGGGTAAGGATTGAGATGAAGTTTTTGTTATCTGAAAAACTGACCCTTCGTATAAGATTTCCTGGTTGATTTATAGATTTTTCTACTGTTTCTCTTGTGATCAAAGATTATATGGGATAAATGTTTAGGTCGCAAATCTCTTCTAGACTATGATCAAAGAGTATATGGGATAAATGTTGTGTTAGGGACACAAATCTTTTATAGACTATTTGCAGAGTACCTCATTACAGCGCGTATTTTGTTAAGGATTTTTTGCCCAAGGTCCTGCTAAGACCGTCCTGCAGATTTGCTTTTGAGTCCCAAATTCAGGGCGCTTTTCTGCATTTAGAATGGTGGGTGGATGCAGCTTGAATTTCCAAGTCGCAGGACGGAGAAAGCAGAGGCAAGTGACCTCTACTACAGACTGCAGCATTTGTTTGCTTTGCTAGTCGAGGAAAAATGTTAAAATTGCGGGAAGCCAGGAAAAAGAAGATTGCCAAATTGGGCATGCCAAATTAGTAACCTTTTTTCTTCCTAAAAAAAAAAAAAGTCACGAAAAAGGCTTTTCTTTCCTTGTCCAAACTGGAACTGAAGGATAATTCTGGGGAAAAAAAGATTAGCAGCTGATAAAGGATAAGTAACAAATATAGTTATTTAGTAATAACTGTTGGGTATCTAACAGCTACTGAATAATATTGCTGTAAATTGCCTGTGAACATCTATTAACAAGCAGGTTGCTCTCAATGCTAAAAAAAAGTTACCAAGACTCTCATAAAATGTCTACTGTGGCACTGAATCTTGGGAGGTATTGCTTTGAAGTGGTTTGGAAGGTAAAAAATAGGTACCTCTCGCTCTGAGCTGAAGGGCGGCATTTGTAGGATGGTACGCTTGAGTCATTTCTTTGCTCCTTCTTAGGGATCTTTGCTCCTTTGAAATCAACTGATCTATTGGAGTGATTTCTGTGAAAGGAGCATCTGTACTGTGTAATGCAAATGTATTTCAAACCAGTGGCAGGCAACTTTTTATTGTATAAAGACACTTTTAAACGCTTAAGACGGCGCTATGACTTTTGGGATACTATATAAATATGTATATTATATAGAGGGGTGGGATTCAACTGGCATTACTACCGGTTCGCTGCGCACGCGTGTAAATAACCTTAGGCTCTGCTGCCCAGACAGCTGAAAAGCACCGTGCACAGGTGTGTAGTGTTTGAAAAGCCTCTTTTTCCATACTTTTTCAACCTCAGCTGTGCTGCGCAAAGTAGCTGAGATTGAAAAAGCAGGAAATAAAGGATAGGTAAGAGCCTGGGCAGGTGGGTGGGCCAAACAGCAGCAAACACAGAACCCAGTTCTGTGTCTGCTCCTCTTCAGGGCTACCGGTTCTATAGAGCGGGGCAGAACCGGTAGCATCCCACCCTTGTTTATATATGTATATACACATGCATGCACGTATATGTGCATTTGTGTGTATGTTCAGGTTTTAGGATAAGCTCTGTTTCTATTTTGTTGGCTGTCAAGCCGAAAGTATGTCACAATAGGTTGTATTTTAACTAGTTTTCTGTATTTAATGCAGGTGGACCATTTTCTTCCAGAAGAAACCCTTGCCTTTTTCACTGGCTCAACTCACATCTTCTCAACCATTATGGTTCTGGAAGCAAAAGCCGTTGTCCATCACCCATACTGGCCTCAGAATTTGGAAATCAAAAATTACGTCCCAAATGACCAGCCCTCATGGCAGATCTTGACATACTTCTTCTCTATTGTAGGAATTCTCATGGTATTGATCTGGTTTGTAGCAGGCTGGCAGAGCAAGACCTGGGGCCCTTTTGGAACTTGGCGCACCTTGATCATTGGCTGGTTTACCGTCTGTGGTTTTATTCATGGTGTAGTTGAAGGCTGGTTTGTCCTTTACCACATGGAAATCCCAGGGGATAATCCTTTCTCTCACAGCTCTGTAAGATGTCTGTCTGTCTCGTTTCTGTCTCTTGATTTCAGAATTTTTTTTTTTTTGATGCAGCAGGTTAACATGGGGGAACGCGGAGGGTGGGCAGGAAGATCTGCAGAGGGCACAAATGGGCCAAATGACACAAGGCGGTCAATCCTCCTATTGTGTACTTGAGTCAGACTTCAAAACACAAATATGTGATAGTGACACTCGTATAGACAGCCTTTGCTTTCCAACAGTAACTTGGACCAGCAAATTCATTAAGTGATGTGGCCCTAAGTCACTCACATGACCACACCACCTTAGCAACAGTTCCGGCAGTCCCAATTTTTGTCTTTAGATGAGTCTTGAATGGTTGGGGCATCCCTTCGTCACAAGATCACCATTTGCAACCTCCTGGCAGTTTCCCTATGAACTCTTATTTGTTGGAAGCCATCAATGAAAGTTGCAAATGGCAGTCACATGACAGTGGGAACTTTGATGTAATTGCAAGCTAGTTGTAAGGACCTGACTCACATTTACCTGATCACGGGGCAGCTGTGATGGCCACATCTACAAGGACAGTTTTTAAGCTCCTCTCATTCAGCACCGTTGTAACTTCAAACAGCCAGTGAAGAAGTGGACATTAAATGAGGACTGCCTGCATCCCTGTGGTTATTTTTGAGATAGCCCTATCCTGAGATCACCCCAGAAATAAATTTCCAAACTCTCCAGGGTGGTTAGTTTTTGAACCTGCATGCAGTTTTTTTGATGTACCTTTGAAAGGCACCTATTACAATTGTGCAATAGGAATAAAAGGAAAATGTAAGATGTGCAGATAAAACTGGATTCAGCTGTTATAACATTGGAATAGTTTAATGCTTCTGCTACGCTCTCCATATAGAGCTCTTTCATTCTTTCTGTGTATATAGTGGTACTGATTCTTAATAGTTCATAAGGAAAGGCCCACATACAGGAACTTAATATGATGTGAAACCAGAAATCATGGCCACAAATAGATTTCCACATATAGTTAAACTTAAGGAACCTGTGTTAAAGGCTACATGCTAGGGATGTGGGCAGGGGTGGGATTCTACAGGTTCGCACCTATTCGCTAGAACCGGTTGTTAACATTCTAAGCAGTTTGGAGAAGCGGTTGTTAGAAGAAATTACTGGCCTAATCCTGTAAGGAAGGCAGGAAGGAAACATTCTGCTGTTGCTTACAGAAACTGCCTCTCCGTTAACCCTTATTACATTCTTGGCAGGACTAGACTTCCTGTCTCTGGAACTTCTCTGGAGTTTTTTCCCCCTCCTTTGCTGGTACTTTGCTTGTGTGGAGTTACAATGGCACTGAAAAAAGTGACTTATGACCATTTTTCACACTTACGACTGTTGCAGCATCCCCACAGTCACGAGAGGCCGGGCGAGGAGATGCGTGCCTCGATGTGAGTGATGTTAAGTTGGCCACGGCCAGCCAGTCACAGGACCATCAAGCCACGCCACCAACTAAGCCACACCCACAGAACTGGTTGTTAAAAAAATTGAATCCCACCCCTGGATGTGGGGTACAATGGAATGTGAAAGGGCCAAGTGTAGAGCGATGCGTCATTTTCCCGTTACCAGCTTCAGCATGATGCTGAGAAGATGCATTTGACATAAAGCGCTGCATAGGTGCCATATGTCTGCCCTCAGATGCTTTTGAAACATCTTTGTTTTACTGAAATGTTGGAGTTTATCCTCCAGGTTGGCTGAATAGAGTGCATTAGAGTGAGCCCTGGGGGGAGAAGGCTCATCTATAATTGGAATATGTAATAAGTTACCAATATTTTGCAGATGTAATCCTCTCTATTTCCCTCAGTGCCATATGGCTCAGCCTACTTTGTATCTGTATTTCCAATTATTATTAGATTTTTTAATTCGATTATATGTGTCAACAAGGTGATGAACATATCTAATACTCCATCCTTCTCTTTTCCAAGTCACTGTCTTCTGGTTTCTAGGCTAGGACCTTAACCAATCTGATCTCTAATTATTTCCTAACTACTTGTTGAGATTAATCCATGGAGCATCTTCAACCTAATGCTTTCCACATGCACAAGACACACACACACACACCGAGAAAGCTGCCATTTTTGCAGAAGTGAAAATAGTATGACATGAGCTGAAAGATCATCAAACATCCAGATCTTTCTGAACTATAAATGTCAGCATTTCCACCCCATTGCCCTCATCTATAAAGGCTGCTGACAATTTGAACCAGTGGTACAGTACCTGCAGGATCAAAACATTTAATGCTTATAAAAGTCTAGGGAAATGTAACTATAATGCTATATGCTTTGACAAGCAGAAATCAAACTAAAAATTTTATGTTTTATATTAGTCACAATAACACGCTTTGCATATCTGGCTATCATAGTTTGCCGAATAAGCCACAATCATGCACATCACCATGCTAAAATCTTCTGCTTCAGATCCAACAACTATATTTGAATTTAACAGAGTGTTTGATTCCTGCCGGTATCAAAACTACAGAGGGGAAAATATATGTTTCCTAAGATCAAATATTTGCATTTTACCAAAAAGCATAATTTTAGCCAAGTAAAGTCCTCATGCATTTAGAAAGTTTTATTGGCATGATAGCATTCATGTGGTCGGTAAAGTATCACATTCATTATGAGTTCTGTTTTCTACAATAGGAATTATTTGGAAACTTCAGAAAAAATGTATTTGGTTTAAGGAGTTTGGAGACAGATCTTAGTTTTGCACCTCTGAGTGCAAAACATTTGTATCTAAAGTGCTGCACAACCCTGTTGGTTATAATTAATAATTAAGAAAAGTACAGGGAAATTCATAAACCTACCACCATTCCTATTGATTTCTTCTTCTATTCACTTCTCCTTATTTTATATCTTCCAGGGAAGGAATATGCCAAAGCGGACAGCAGATATATTATGTAAGTATTAACTTTGAAATGACAGGCAAAGTTCTGTATATTTCTGCAAAGATCCAGCACTAAGCAATTTGAACAAAGTACTTGGTTTGAGTGCAGGGATAGGGAAAGGATGACTTGACATAATGCAAACATAAATACAGCTGAGATGTTCAAAAATTTTGCATGAGTTCTCTAATATATTTCTTGTTGCCAAGGCAATTCTTTAATAGAGCAAGTATAACAAAATTAAAAGAATTTCTGCATTTCTTTTTAAGGATTTTAACCTTTTAGATTTCTAAATTATTTTAGAAAAAAACATTGAATTTTATTCATGCCTTAAAAGAGCATATCGGGGAATGAAATTTGTTTTCCAGTCTCATGTTTATGAACATTTGAGATGAGTGGGGTTTCCCCATCTCTGTGGAAGATCTGGTTGTTGGTGAGCCATTTTATCAGCAGTGGTTGGCTAAATTCTATTCTCGCCATTTTATTTTCATTCACTTTTTTTCTCTTTTCCCCTCAGCCATAGTAACTCAGCCTGGGAAAATAAAACGGGCAAGGCTTGAATACAAAGAACTTGCACCAGTTTACCTTCCTCACTTGTACTGAATTCTTCAGTTTTGCCTAAGATGGATTTATTATCTTTGTGTATTTTCATGCATCAGAGAAACCAGGGTGTCGTTTAATTGGTTTAGCTCAGGAAGAGTACAGTTTGTAACCTTTTATTCGTGGTTTAAAATAATGTGCATTCCATTTTCTACTTCATCAAATAAAATGAAATATTTTCCTAAATTGCCATATATGTCTGTCAGTCTGTCTGTCTGTCTGTCTGTCTGTCTGTCTATCTATCTATCTATCTATCTATCTATCTATCTATCATCACTCTTCTTTCTTCCCCTCCTGTAAGAAACTTGGGATGTTTTGGGACCTCACGATGACATTCATTTCATTTTTGTACCTGCAGATCAGATAATTGCATAATTTGCATTGAAGCCATTACTGCCTGGTTTTTCAGTCCCCTCAGTCTTTGGACTGTAGTTGCATTTCTTTCACGCCAGTCCCATCGATATGTACTGCAGCTAGTAGTGTCAGTAGGTAGGTATGTCAGTATGTTAATGTTAATGCAATCTTTCAAAAGCAATTAATTTAATATTTTTATTCTTGATTAATGTTCCATGTACCTGGCTGCATTTCTTATTTGGCTTGTCCATTTCTGATCTTTTCTTAGTCAACCCTGTTGTCTGCCTCTAACCCATAGGTCAACTATATGGAACCGTTCTGTACTACTACAGTGAATACCGTGATGGCTTTTGCCATGGTGAGATGTGGCACCCTCTCTACTTCTGGTTTTACTTTGTCTTCCTGTCTGGTCTGTGGTTTATTATTCCCTCTATTCTCATCTGGGATGCCTGGAAGCACCTTAGTGCTTGCCAGAGAGTAATGGATGCTAACAAGGTCAAAAAATATTGATGTTTTACACAGCAGGTTATATTAGACGGTACTCCCAGCCATTCAGAAGTTGATCTTGTACTCTTCTTGTCAGATCCCTAGAGTGATACTGCTATTCAACAGGGGAAAGGGGGGAACCTCGAATGTAATTATTTTTATACCTCTGACCACTGCTGTTTTATAATCTTTATCCTGGCTTCTAAGTGCCCTGAAATTTTCTCATGTTTTGGGGAATGTACAAGGGGGGAGGGCTATGCGGGTTGTTTCACTCTGAAAGCCGGAAGAAGATGACCCTAAAATGCGTGCTTACCTGATTCCCAGAATGGGCATTACAATAACACCTGCACACCTGTGGATTGGCTGAATTCACATTGGACTGGAGGGAGGGGTTTCTAATGCCTTATTTCCAACTGTATTGCCTGAGGGGATTTAGAGTCTGTTTTGCCTTTGTTCTGCTATCACTTCTGGTCAATAAAAGGTTCCTTTTGAAATACTATGTTTCAAGATTTTTTTCTTGAGTGAGAAGGAGATGCAGGACTTTACATAAAGCAGACTCTGCAAAAATGGTCAACCCGGAGAAGCGAACTTTCACTCTACTGTGGGGACCTTGCAAATCGTGTCTGAACAAAGCAGCGAGCAGGGAGAAGCCGAATGCTGGGGAGAAACATTACCACCGCCCAGCCAGATGCCTGCTCTCTGTACCCCATCAGAGAGGTTGAGGCAAGCCTGGAAGATGCCAAAAAACCCTGATGGTCAATTGGAATCGGGAAGAAGGACAGCTAGGGTTGGAGTACCAGAAGTGTCACCCTCACCCGCGGCAGCTGAGAACCAGGGTGGAAAATGGAGTTGGAAGCCCTTTCCGACCAGGAGGAACTGATCAAAGAACCGCTGAGGGAGGATCAATTAAAGAGACACATCACCCGGTTGGTGATGGAGACCCTGGAGAACCTCAACATCCGAGGGGAGCCGGACCGGCAACAGATAGGGCCTGAAATGGCAGCAGCCAACGACATCAGGGCCGCCACTCCAAACCTGGGAACAGCCGACCAAGCTGCTGCTGAGTGCAAACCTCCCTTGTGTGGCACGAGCACCGGTGAACATCACCGGCCAGCCCTGAGCCCCGCAGAAAGAAAGATGCCCCCCTTGCAGGTGAAATTTGATGGAGACCCGCAACAATTCTTCATGGTGCATGTGCTCACATATATGTAGGAGTATGAGTGTGATTTCCAGACTCAAGGCCCCAGAATTTGAGTCGTCACTCTAACCCTAGAGGGAGCCACTGCCAGGCCGATGATAACCCTGCACAATGCCGATGCTCCAGAGCTGCAGAATTTTGACCGTTTTATGATGCCCCTGTGATGGTAATTCGAAGACCCCCTCAACGATTGCAAGGCCCATCACTGTATGAAAGTTGTGAAGCAAAGATGGCGGCCAGTGGCAGAGTGAACCAAAGAGTTCCAGTGTCAGCGTTCCAGGTAACAAACTCCAATTCAATAAACTCCGAGATAGGCATTTTCTCAAAGTTCCACTTTATTAGAGTTGAGTGAGATTTCAAAGAAGATAAGAACACTGTGATGAAAATTTTCTCTCTATTCTATACTATAGAATATTTTGTTTCTTCTGAGTTGTTTAAAATATAATCAGACTGTAATACTAGGGGGTGATTTTTAACTAAAATTTCATCTTCATTTTTTTTCTTGTGGAAGAAAAGCATTGAGCCGTGGTGGCACAATGGTTAGAATGCAGTACTGCAGGGCTAACTCACTGCTCATTCCAGGAGTTCAAATCTCACCGGCTCATGGTTGACTCAGCCTTCCATCCTTCTGAGGTCAGTAAAATCAGGACCCAGATTACTGGCAATATGTTGACTCTGTAAACACTTAGAGAGGGCTGTATAGCACCGTGAAGTGGTACATAAGTCTAAGCGCTCTTACTATTACTATTGCTATATTGGGCACAATAGACTAATTAGGAAATCTCGTTTTCTCTGGAATTGAGATGTTTACATTACTAAACTTCGAGTTTGCATTGTGCTGTAATGACTATAATATTCCAGAGTCGTCTTGTGTTAATGATTGTTGGCACTGGCTTGTTAGAACAGACAAAGTATTAGAAGACCAATTTATAGAAACTAAGACTGTAACATAGGCTGAGTAGAGGTTATTGTAGTAATCAAGAGCTGGTGAAGAGTATTTCCTTTCTGAAAATGTAATATATATGTACAAAACAAATTTTAAGTAAAAGCTTTGGGTTTTTATAATTTCCTCAATCCTGCTTCTAAAAAAGAGCACTGAAAATGTGATAAGGCCAATAAGAATTTAAAAAATGAATTTAATGAAAAGGTTTTATGCTTTCTAAATTAATTGCTCCTTTTGAAAAAGTAAAGAATGAGCCCAAACTTATTTTTATGTATGGCTAAATACCTAGGCACAACAAACACATTTCTCAGGAGACACCCGGCCTTAAATCCTATCAGCCATCCAATCGGGCTAATTTACGAGTTTTATAACTGTGATGTGTGATGCCTCAGATTTCTTCCTCTTCTCTTTAACATTTACATAAAAATGGGTAAGTTCATTGTACAGCACATGATGCAGTGTCATCAATACTGGCTAAGTAGGGAATGCTGTTTTGTACTTGTTTGTTCAGTGCATTGAAGTGTACTGTAAAATCAGTAAAAAACACGAGGTTGGTAAGCCAGGCCATATCAGTGAGCTGTGGATATTCCTGCCCTTTTTCATTCATAAACAGCCTGATTTCTTCCAAGCAGGCTACAAATCTCTCCAGGACTCATCCTCTGCTCAGCCACCGGACATTATTATACATCAGTAAACAATTATACTGTGCCTGAACCTCCTCAAGTGCTTTAAACTGACGAAAATGCAGAGCACGAGCCATTATGTAATTCACCATTTTTGTGACATCTTTGAGTACATCTTCAAGTTGTTTGCTGCTTTCCCTGGCACAAAGAGCTTCTTGATGTATAATACAGTGAAATTGAATGACTTCATGCTGTGTTTCTTTTACAAACAACTGTATGAAACCAGATGTTGCCCCCATCATTGAAGGTGCCCCATCTCTGGTAATTGAAACCACTTTTTCTGGTTTTATGTCTTGTGACAAAAAAGCATCCATCACAGCACTGTAGATGTCTATCGCTTGTGTTCTTTGAGGCAGACACCAGTTTCACCAGCTCTTCTCTCATGATGTCACCAACAGCATAACGGAAAATTACTGCTAGCCTTGTGTGATTATTTACATCTGTGCTTTCATCCAAGCACATGGAGTAACAGGCTGCCTTTTGTAAGTCAGTGGTGAGCAGCTGACTAGCATCACTTGCCACACGCTGGACCCTGTCTTTAACAGTATTTCTGCTAAGTGGCACCTCAGAGATGTGTTTAATAATTTTATCTCTGTTTGGGAAATCATGAAAAAGGGAATTACTGCCAGACAACATGGCCATTTTGATAATATCCCATCAGGAAGGGGCTTACCATGTTTTGCTATGCAGAGTGAAATTTGAAAACTGACAGCTGTCGGATGATTTGCTCTGGAAAGATAGTTGGAAAAACTAAGAGACTGGGAATGATAATTCTTCAATTTCCCTTCAATAAACTGTTTTCTTTCAGTTGCACCAAGTTCAGCAACACTTTTGTGGTTGGTCTCAAAGTGCTGCCTGACACGGTGATGTGCAACACAGAACACTTTCATTACATAGAATACATAATGCTTTGCCACTGCGTCCAATCACTCCAAATGACTCTGTCCAGGCCTCTTGGAATGATCTTCCACTATCTGCTTTTGCTTTTTTTGCTGCACTCATTTTTGAGTATTCAAGGCTGTCTTGGAGAAACACAAAATTCTGGAATTAAAGCTTCATTTTTTAGCTAAAACTTAATTCACACCTGTTAGTTTTACTTTAAACAAATAGCTTTGAGTGTGAACGATTGAAAGTGTGAGCCTTCAAAGGTCTGAAAAATATATTGATTTTTCTTTGGCATTTAAACTAGATATCCAATGTAAAAAAGTGCATCAAGGAGGGACTGGAAAGCCAATTCATACTGAGCTGAATTGGTTTTTTTGTTGTTATTTTAATAAAATGAAAAGAAAGCAATCCAGTATTTGAACCTAGTGTGGGGAAAGAGATGAAATCTACTTAAGTGTAGAGAATGCCCCATTCCATCTCTTTTCCCACACTAGATACAAATACTGGATTATTTTCTTTTCGTTTTATACAAATAATAACAAAAAGAGATCCCCCTCCTCTTTTAGGTGGGGTAAAGTGTGGAGCAAAGCCGCTGCAAAGCCTAAAGCCGCCACATGGTTTTTTTGGTGTGGGAGGAAGGAAGGTAAGGTTTCAGGCAGTCGGGAAAGCTGCCTAGCCCAGAGCTGCCAGCAGGGGGGGAGGGGCCAGGCTGCAGCACACGCCTCACTTGAATTTCCCAGCCGCAAAAGCAGGAGGGGAGGAAGTCCTGCCTGCAGCCCCTTTGTTGGACCTGGAAGCCTTGCCTGCCGGCTTTTTTGGGTAACGTGAGAAGGAAACAGAGAAAGAGAGAGGGGGAAAGAGAGAGAGAGGGAAAGAGGGAGCGAAGAAGGAAAGAAAGAGAAAAGGGAAAAAGAAAAAGAAAGGAAGAAAGGGATAGACAAAGACCAGATGGAAGGAAGGGAAAGAAAGGGAGGGAGGAGAAAGTGAATGAGATATATGAATGAATGGATGGATAGATACATGGAAGGAGGGAGGGAGGGAGAGAGAGAGAAAAAAAAGGAGAGGAAGGACGGACACAAACCCTGGCTTCAGAAGACTCCTTGAAACAACACAGCAATCTAGAACTGGAAGGGATCTCTGAGGTCATCTTCTAGTCCAAGGGTCTTCAAACTTGGTAAGTTTAAGACTTGTGGACTTCAATTCCCAGATTTCCTGAGCTTACATGACTGGAGGAAGAATTCTGGGAGTTGAAGTCCACAAGTCTTAAAACTGTCAAGACCCCTGTTCTAGTACAACCCGCTGCTCTAGCAGGAGATCCTTACAAATCATAGAAGGAACCTATGAGTTCCTTCCCAGCAGAGTTAGAAGGAACCTTGGAGGCCATCTAGTCCAATCCCTGCTCCAGCAGGAGACCTTATATCATCTGGAATCTGGATTATTTTGGTGCCTCTAACAGAGAGGAAAATGGCAGAGGAGTGTAGTAGGACAAGGCTGCCA